TCTCCCAATATTCATGAATGACTCAGATTTGGCTACAGAAAAAATTATCGTTCAGTAGTTTCCATTTCTTGGTATTCTCGCAACAGAACAACAATACGTGCACGAGCGTGATGTTGTTTTTAAATGGACAGGTGATCCTCCCATGATCCCACCCTGCCTCCAGCACTGGTGAATCTGTGCATGTGACCCCTGCAGCGACCTTCTAAGGTCTGAACCCTGCATACGTTTCCTTTTGCCCAACTACAGGATCTGACCCCTGTTGCATGGCAGACAATTCAGCAGCTCTCCATGGAGCTGGTGTGTGCGTTAGCCATCGTCAAGCCAGCCCACCTCCAATCTCCCATTCAAGCAGGGAGCATATGCTCCTCTGATGTCTACAACGAAAGGCCGGGCACAACTTCTGAGGAGGTCGAGGTTGCTCCGGTTGAACCATGCAACTTGGGACTTGTTGAAAACAAGGCAAGTCTGGTGTCCACAGACTCTGGCGTGCAGCAGCATCATTCGTGGTCTTCAGGAGATTTCAGCAAATCCAATCTTAGGCATGAGCTACTTGCAGTGAAAGGCACTACACCTAAGAAAGCACTTGGTGTACACCAAGGAAACAGTCATTGCGAGAAACCAATCTCAAATGACGTTGGAGGAAGAAATAATCTGAGTCCAGATGTCAATAAAACCGTCAGCAAGGATGACTTGAGCAAAAACTCTGACGGTGGAATGAAAAGTTTTGATAGCAAGCCCAGTGGCAGAGCGTGCTGCCTAGATGCATTTGTTGAGCTGTGGAAGGACCATTTCAAGTGTCAGGTTCCTGCTCAACTTTTCCTGTGTCCAAGGACGGTCCTCCTGATTCGGCAGGGCCAAGATGGGAAGGTATGTTTGCATTTGTACTTGTCTCTTCATAGAGCTCCCGACGTGGAGAAAGAGTCGTGCATTAGCGTGGGCATAGCTACAGGGCTTGAGCCTGTTTCTGGCACAGCTGTTTGTTACTAACTGTACCTGTATGCACAGAACAGAAATGGCAGTGTCGCTGCAGGTTATGTAACTACCAATTAAGCTGTTCCATGTTTACCAGAAGCGAGTCTACTGTGAAAGATTTTCAGTGCTAAGTGTTGACATTTTTATTTTTGCTGAAGCTTTATGTCGTTATCATGAGAAAGGAGACAAAAGCGAAAGGCCATTTTCAATGATTTCTCAATTCTGCTATGAAGCTATGCACAAGTTCCTCATTAGTGGCAAAGAAAGACTTGACAGCTACTGTGGCCATGTTCCTGACACCCAGTGCATTTCTGCACATTCTGGTTAAAACTTATCTCACGTTGTACTATACGCATGGTTTGTCAGCTCCACAGGACATTAATATTGCTTGAAAATATACCACTTTCTGTTTTCTATACAATCACATTACTTTTCCTGACCAGGCATTCAGAACTGAAGGTGTAGTCCTAACACTTTAAGGGGAAAAGCAGGAAATGTTGATTATTTCAATCAATTTTGTATGCGAGTGTGTTGATCTACTGCGGTGAAGCAACTTCTCGTTAACCCAAACCCTGAGAGATGCTGCAAAGTGTAGCAGGCGTTCTGCTGCAAAGGGCAGTCAACAGCAACCTATGCCTTCAGTTGACCTACTGGATCTTGTTGCACTGAGCAGGCAAGCCACAACGACAAATGATGCGGACTGATGAGTCGGACAGGGTTTCCATCCCAAAACCCAGAGAGTTTGGGTTAAGTTGCACCAAGATGACTTCCATAAGGTTGCCTTGTTCATCTTGGCAATCTCATTTCTTGATTGTGATGTTGAAGGACCGACCTTTTGAAGAGAACCCTGTGGCTGAAAGAAAGTCTTTTGCCTCCATTGCAGGAAAGCTGGGAGTCGGTAGGCCACGCGGTATGCACCTTGCTCACCCAAGGGCTGATAGATCCATCCACGATTGCTGAGTGCCTTGTTAGTTTATTGGAGTCGGACAGTGTGGAAGTGACTGAGGCTGTGGCTCATGTCATGTGGACCATTGGCCAACATGCAGCACAAGTCAGCAGCCACAAGCAAGGTACATTTACAAGTTGATTTTTTTTAATTTACTCTTTTGAGCAATCCCTGTTCACCACTTCCCAGGCTACATCGTGTCTTTTGGGTGTGATCCCTGGCTATATGGTGTTTCAGGTGGCATGGCTTCTGACTAGCACCCCAAACAAAAATACTGACATATGGGAAGATCCACCAACATAGGGCTGGATAGCTCAGTTGATAGAGGACCAGTACGGTATCCCAGAGGTTCAAATCCCGCTCCAGTCAATTTCTTTGTTCATCTTTATAATTGACCCTTTTGGGGATTATTGTGTTTATTTTTTAAAACTTATAGTGAGTGGAAGAAAAGGAATCTTTGAAAGTGTCCATAGTACTGTAGCTTGCTTGCTTTAAGAGAGATTGTAAAAGAGATGCTTGATTTCAGAGTTCAAACGGAAAACCCCAAATTTTTCAGGGAAGCCCATGGAATTAGATAGGGACTGAAAACCAAGTAAGCACACCAACTTAGGTGGGATTCGAACCTAGGTCATAGACTAGATGGGATTTGAACCATGGTTATCGAGGTGAAAGCCAAGGAAAGGACCACTGTACCAATGAAACACTACCAACTGGATCTCAGTTGTACCACCAGTCAAACAGTGAAGGATCATGTGGAGATGCTGCACCACAAATGAACACATCCTGTGCCCAAAGTCTGTGCCCAAAGTCTGATTAGCAGTATTTTCCTGATAAGCAATTTTGTCTTTGAAGCAGTACTTTCTGTTGAGTGGTATTTTTGCTGATAAGCAATATTGTCTTAGAAGCAGTGATTTTTTGAAGAGCGGTATTATTCTGACAAGCAGTATTTTTCTGATCAGCTGTATTTTTCTGCGAAGCAGTATTTTCTGATGAGTAATATTTTTCTGATTTACAAGCAGTATTTTTCTGAAGAACTGTATTTTGTTAGGAGCAGTATATTCAGGGGGCATGTGGCTTTGTGGTTAGGATTTGTAGCTTCCGATCATAGGGTCAGGGGTTCGAATCCAGCTGGTAGCAGCATGTTGTGATCGTGGGCAAGTCACTTTGCTCCCACGTGCCTCTCTCCACCCAGAAGTAAATTGGTACCTATGACGGCAGACACAGTTATGTTTAGCTGTTTGCGCCGAAATGGCAGCACTGGGCTGGTATACTCCCTAGGGAGCTGAGATGATTTCAGGAATGTTCAGATGATGTGAGAGTCCAATGTGCAGGGATAATGATAATACAGTGCCTCAGAATAGTTTACTAGATAGATGGCACTTTACAAGTGTGTTGTTGTTATTTTCCTGATGAGCAGGATGTTTCTGATAAGCAATATTTTTCTGATAAGCAGTACTTTTCGATAAGCATTATTTTTCTGGTAAACAGTATTTTTGGATAAGCAATATTTTTTGATAAGTAGCTGCATAAAAATAGTTTGGGGGAATTTTGTGTTTTTTTAATCAACTCCATTGTGTTTTGGCAGTCGGAGATGAGTGGAGCTCACCTAATGTTATGTCCCTCCTGCATGCTCTGATCTCAAGATGTCCAGAGGGTGACATTCTTCATCAGCTATGTGACTATGCACAACACCAAATGCACCATTGAGGCCGACTTCAAACATTCTGTCATCAGAGAAACTTTTCCACCAAAACAAAGTGAAAAGATCAGTTTGTGATATGGATATTTTCAGTTTCAATGTAAAAAACATACAGGTTAAAATTATCAAAGTGTTACATGATTTTTTTGGAAGTTCAACTATTTCTCCAAGTTTTTAATTAGAGTTGTAACATTAGTTTACTTTTATTGCAAATAATATCATGTTGTTTGCAATTTAATGCACATGTGGTAGGCTTCACGCAGGTACTTCAGTGCTCATCAAAGTTACATTAATTCAAGGGGATGCCATTACCCATGGGAGCACTGCACTCAAGCACGCATACACCTGTCAGGTCACTACACCCCTACAGGTGTACCACGTTCGCATGCCGGTGTTGCGTGCGTATTACTTTCCTCTTTGACCAGTAGGATGTTGTGACTTGCCACTCTTTGAATCATCAAAATTAATGGCTTCGGTTGTAAGAGTGGGTAAATGGCTTAAAAACATTCGTTTGGAGTCTTTAAAGTTACTTTCAGAATGTCACAGAATGCTTTGAACCCACTGTGTGGAATTTCATAAGCACGCTCTAATCTGAGTAGTACTTCCTCCCACTGTCAACAAAACTAGATTTACTTCTGTGCATGTCTGACAGGCATCTCTCATTTCAGTGGGCTGTTCCCATTGCAAGGAATAACCCCTATTAGTCCAGTTTTATATCAGCAGCGATGTTGGTAATGCCAACAAGTCGGACCTGCTCAAGTCATGTTGCAAGTACTTTTTCCCCAAATCAAGTCTCGAAAAAGATTGCAACTCAGTCTGATTGCGGTCTGTTCAGCAACTCGAGTCAACGACACTGGTCAGTGCACATGGATGGAAGATGAAAAGAGATGGGATCATACTGCCATGGCAGAATTCACACAGTCTGGAGTAGAGTAGTGGGGAATTGGGCATGTGGAGTTGGTGGGTTTTAGTGGGTTTGTTCGATTAGTAGGGGTGCGGAGATTAGCAGCAAATGACAATTCATCAATTACACCATACAGTGACTCATCTCGTTAAGTACACCCTACAAAGTATCGTGTTGTACGTAGACTTTGCACTCTAAATAGGTCACTTTGTAATGTGCATCCATCAAGATAGGTCACTTTGTGGTACGACCAGTGAATTAATATTGAAAATGAAGGATTGAGGACTCTTAGGGTTATTAAGTCCTCACTTGATAAGCCACAGCATGACAATGACCACCACATGTACAACAGAACCAAAATCCAACTGTCTCTTTTTATTTCACATATATTTGCCGTTTAATATTTAACATGTTTGTGTCATACTCTATGATAGACATTACATTCTGGAAGACCAGTACAAACAATAAATGGTGCAGACTTTCAAGTTTAGAGTCGGCTTTGATTACTTCCAACTAATACAAACATTGGAAATTACACTGGTACTTTAGGTAGGGAGGCCCATGGGTTTTAGACTTTTCCAGCAATGACCACACGTCTGATATTGTTGAAAAGTGCAACTCCAGAGCAGTTCTTTGGTGTATAAATCACCTTCATAAGTTTGTACTATAGTGAAGATATAACTCTCTGCAATATACTGGTATGGGTGCATGTGCCTGTCGCTTAAGATTCATTCTCATTTATTTCAGTGGAATAAAGTAAAACTGGCATACTTTTTTTTAAAGTCTTCTTGCTTACTATTGCTAAAGAGGTGGTCTGTAAATGATAATACCATGCATGAATAAAGCTTTGATGCATAGCCTACAAAATAGCCATATTTTATGGATTTCAAGACTAAACCTAAAGTAGACGTACAGTGTACACATATACTGTCATGAAAACTTGCAAGTAACCAGAGAACAGTTTTGAGCATATTTGAAGCATATCGTATCGTACAAATACAAAGCCAAAAATGTGAAGGAGACTTACAACTTGCTGCTTTTGGTCTGTAATTAAAAGAATAACATGAATAAAGGAAAGAATTTCGAAGTGTTGTGATTGAAAAATTGAGAGTGAAATCAATACCTACTGTCATTTCCCTAGATCTAGATCGAGAAAATTATTCAGTCTGAATGCAGCTCAAGTAGTCTGGGAATTCCAGTGAAACGTCGTATGCAGGAGACACAAAAAAATTGATTTCCAATCTAAACTTGTAATTTGGACTTACAGGATTGACGAAAGTGACAAACGACACTTTTCCTAGTTCTGGATCGGTTTAATTAACCAGTTCCGGATCGTGTCAAAATCTTCATGCATACAAAAGAAATATCAGAAAGAGTGCCATACACGGACGGCGCTTGACACCCTGTGCACAAACCCTATGAGACTGGTCGGAAAAGTTTTCAGTGTTTTCTGAGTAAACGGCTTTGTTGTTCCATCCTAAATTGAACTTTTCTGGACACGTATTTGCTCCCGACGGCTCATAGGTCACTGTGAAGAGAATAATTACAGGCGTCTGTATAATATAAATGAACTCTTCCCGAAAAAAAATCCGTTTTTTCCAGAACCACGGTCACAAGCTGATTTTCTAATGAAGAATTTCTTAATTTAAACTCATGTAGCAGGAATTCCAGTGAAGTACAAAAGGGAAGTTGGGTAGCTTTTGACCTGACTATTTCAGTGGCGCAGCAAGCTACCAACGACACTGTCCCCTGCTCCGCACAGATTACGTCACATACAAATCTGTTACGCACGCGTAGTTGAGTTCGCCACATATGTACAATAATTGCATACATGATCCAAAACTAGACAAAAATCATCCGTTCAGCTTTCGGCAAATGAGACAAACATTCATCGCGAGAGTATATATGACCATTGAGCATGATAAAGTACTTGAAACCCCACGTTTCACCCTTTAATTTGTGGTCGATATTTTGGTTCCCTCAATTTTTGACGAAGCGTCTGAACGTATCAATGTGCGAGTGGAAATCTGGCCTGAATTCCTCTTGCAGGAAATTTTCAGAAAACGATATTTTCACAAGAAACTGATATTTTACCATTCAAAACATAACTCGTCTTAATATGGTAATGGACAACAGTGCAAAAAAGGTAGCCTTTATTTTCATGTGATCTGAACACCTTAAACCAAGAGAAGTAAAAGTTTACAAGGGTTTTAAACGTCATGTTCCTTAAGACGATTACCCATGTAGGCCTACACAATCAACGAAACAACAGTGATCACAACAAGCTAATCGGCGTTATTTTGCAATAGTTTTCCGTTATTTCGCTATAAAAATACTATATATATACTACTATATGTACTTTAAAAACTGGCACGATCGGGCTTCCATACAAATCCATCTTTGAAATCTTTGATTGTGTTAAAATCCCATGAATCACAGACGACACCATGCGGTCGACCTTCAAGCAGGTAACAGTATTCACTTGACTTTTTCAGGACTGGGTCAGGGCAAGCTTGAAAATTAAACCATCCGAGGAGCACCCTTACTGAGGATAAGCACGATGGCAGTAATTTTGATGGCAAAAACCTGCCTTTTCTTGTTTGCCATCAAAATAAAGGACGTGTAAGCGACAAGTACACAATAGATGAATAGCAACCGATATTCCGAAGACAAAGACACCGTATTGCCCTCGACTTACTCGTACAAAATGAAGCAACTGCCTCAGTCCATGGGTCGCTTGAATAAAAAGTAGCATTTGCACGTACAGACACACGTTTGAGGTTGGCCTGTAAGCGATGGAACGTCCAACACAGTGGTTTATTAGACATAGCTCTTCAAATTGGGACATCAGTACTAAAAAAAAGTGAAGTCAGCTACAAGCATAACGCATTTGCTACTATTTGTACAATCAGATGCTGAACAGTAAAAGAAACATTTTATTCATACAAATTCAAACAATTGTTTATTCTTAATTCTTTTACTTCTCAGTAAATACTTTTGCTGTTTGCTTGATTTTCATAGCATTTGCTAGTTTTTAGTCATACGACCCATTAATTTTAATAATAGCTCTGAGCAGCCATGCCCACAAAGTAAAACGTTTTCTCCGTGCGGGGACTTTTGTCACCGGGTCAGTTCCCTGTCATGCCTGAACCTGTATGACTGCTTTATGGTAGCTAATACATTTCTCAGTTAGTCCAGGGATGGAGGTAGGTATCTTCCTACCTCCGTAGTCCAGGGAGGTCCGCATGGGCCCTTTAAAATGAATGCAGGATTTGTGAACTTCGATTTCGCGCAAAAATGAATGTCAACATACGAAACCAGTGCAATATCGGGAAATTGAACGCTGACGGAACGGCTGAATTCATCCTCATTGATATATAATTTTCATTTGTTAAATAGAAACGGGACTTTGAATGTTCGTTCCATTTTGCTCAAAAACAAATGATGCTTTTACTAATTCGTGTCCACGTTCCGAAATGAGCCGAGAAAAACCTATGTTAACTTCACACGTGCCGGCCACGCAGTACACAACCATGGAGTGTTTAATATCTCTATGATACAACCTGTCTTCGAACCCCCCTCCCCAAAAAATCCCAGTTTCAAAATTTTACAGTGTAGCGGGGTTTTCCTGGTTGTCATCAGAGTGTAACATTGACAGGGGCATAACACTATTGTGTAATTACAAAAACGAACACATTGGGACGAATATCCCGTTTAATCATTTAAATATCCTGGTTCCAGGAGTTATTTATTCAACTTGAGCACTTGCCTTTCTCATGCATAGCAATGCAAAGAAAATATGAACATAAATTCAAAATCAATAATATACAAATTAAGCACTGAATGTCTAGTTCACTCAGTGAAACAACAGAGAAAAATTCAGCAAATTTAAGTGATTTATTTTGTGATCTCTCTACGATAACAAAGTCCGTTTTATAGTACAACGTGAATGCTGTACTACATTATTGTACACTTCATAAAATATATTGAATCCCGTAAAACCCTTGTCCAAAGTAGGCCTTTTCAGAATCTTTACCACTGTTTAACTCGAGACCCAGATGTTCAAAGCTAGCAGAAATGGAAACGTTTACTGCATTCCGACTTAAACTTAACATAGCGCACGATTGAGTCACATTTCTGAGTGTCGACTGGCGAGTTCCCAAAAAACACCAGGCTCACACAGAAGCCAACACTTGCATCATCACGGCAATGGCAGATATTTATTTTGATGTTTCAAACATTGAAACACAACATGTTTGTATCGTCTCCTCGCCATTGGATTGATCTTACATAACTGCAGAAAATTCCTCTGAACTTAAAACTTACCTTTACATTTTAAAGTATGAAATCACAATGAATTACGAATATACACTTAACACAGCAAAGTAAATGCATCAGATTTTATTTAACCATATTCTAAACCTGAAAGCACCAAACTGTTGAAGCTTGAACTCCTCGGGAGACCGTGACCGTCAAGAGCATTTTGCAATGAAGCCTGAGCCTTTGATTGGACCCAGTGAATGCCATCTGTGACTTATACACTGTATTACTTCTGTTCAGTCTATCGGCAGTGGGATCAGTGAAAGATGATGGAACTTGAAAACACACAAGAACTAAACAAAAGGCAACCAGCAAAGGTATCTATGATGACACGGCAGAATGTATGAAAGGTAAAAAACAAGATGTTACATGTTTTGATGTTAAAGCCATGGCCACGCTGTTGGTCAACCGCAGGGCGGCAAACTGGGCGGCAGAAAACTGCAAAAATCTATTCCCCAAATTTGTTTTATATACCATGCATTCATCCTGAAATCTCAGATGCAACAAAAATGAAGCTATTTCCAATTTGTACACCATATGTACAGCATTTCTTTTTAAACCAGTGACAATTTGTACCATCGATCCAAAAAACCACATAACAATGATACACAACGGAGCTATTACACAAAATAGGTACAAAAACCAAGCGATCAACAGCGCCGCAATAATACATTACACAAACTTAACAAAAAATAAATAACCGAAGTGTGACGTCACTATGAACCAGAAAGTGCAGTGCAAACGAATGGAGTACGGGCGCGTGTTGGTTCACGCGCTGGTTCTCGCACTAATGCCTTTTCCACACTTATTGTGCATGTAACGTATTCACTTCAGTACTCTATTATCTTCCAAACACAATTGTAACCCTGCGCTATGGCAACTTTGATTGGGGTAGAGGTGTGGGGGTTTGTCTGTCCACTATGGTTTGCTTTATCACAAAATACAAAAGCCAGACAGAGAGCTCTGGATCGAGATATAGAAATCGTAACGGAGAGCCGGGGGGGGATCCGTGACCAACACGGCAAAAACTGTGGTAAAATCAACACTTTTTGGTGTTATCAGATGGCCACACCATAGGGAGCTACTTTAACACCGCTGGTGTTTTGCACACTTGTAAGTGTTACAATGCACTGGAGGTTGTTAAAAGTAACACCAAATAACACCAAAATTTTAACACCATTGAACAGTGTTGGTGTAGTCCTCTGATAACACCAGGGGAGGGGGTAAATTTAACACCCCAGTTATTGCAGTGAACTAACAAACTGTGACTTACAATTAAACCAGTTAAAAACCCCTAAAATCATGATCTTTCCTCCATGTAGCCCAATGAATATTTCAATAGATAACCGCTGTTATAAAAATTTGGGAGAATTTGGGTGTCTACATGCAAGGCGCATATGTAAGCAAGATCAGGTTTTGGAGTCGAGTTAAGGGACAAATATTCCCTAAATTAAAAACCTCAGGCTGTTCAGCCGGTACCATCAACCTCAAAGAAACGCTGACACAGCCAGCAGTTCATTTTCGCCTTTCAATCATAAACCATTACCTAAAGTCAACCAGCAAAGACAACTTTGGTTTATAATTATTGCATTACGGTTGTAACAACATCTATATGGATGGATAACTTGCACACAAGGCACCTTTAAAATAGCTGTATTCTCACACCAGCAGGCATGCATAAAATATAACTATACATTCTTTTTACAGATTATTGTAAAGCAGAAATGCTGATGTCGCTTGGTAACCAATGATTTAGATACAAAAGGTGATTTTTAAAACCTCAGTTTTTTGGATGGGTAACAACCAATGTCTGTCTGCCAGTCACTAAAGGAAAGCTCACAACAAACACCAGGGGTCCCAGCTTCAAATCACACTTAATGACTGCTGCGCTGGGAGGGGCTGACTAAATTCATAACGTAGGCAACAAGTCGCAATGTCATCATTGGCTGTGGTTTACGTACTAACTCGCATCTTTGTCCTTGGGCAAAGAGCTAAGGACATGTTTGAATCAGCTGTCATTAAGACAAATGGACATGCTCATGGCAAACAGCAGCATCTTCTACAGCCTTTGGCTTGAAGTAAGTCAAGCCAGCTGCAGTGATGGCACTTTCATTACACTGCATTACAAAAGAGCAGAATGGTATTCCATTCGGGTCAAAATCATTGAAAGTTGAGAGCCAGTTGTAGAAACTGATCAATATGACACCTTTTGGGCATATGTATAGATGTTTCACGTCAGAGTGCATGTTTTTCAAGGAGTTAAGCCTTTAGATGAGTTCAGGGTAACTCTTTTCAGACATTTTGAAACCAATATTGCAAAAATCTAACATACCATTCTTGCACAGCGCGTATAGACGGGCCAGGAAAATGTCTACTTTTTACACTGTGGTTCTCAATGCATGGCATGCATGTAGCCTTGAACCTCAAATGATCATAACAACAAAACCATATCTCTGATTGAGTTCAAACTTTACATCTGTAATGATAAGGAGTGTCTTTACATGCCCACTAAGTTTTAACAATCCATCGCAGCACCGCCGAGTTCTTGGCGGGAAGGGGTAGAATCATCGGATCACGTCGACAATTTTTTAAGGATTGGTTCAGAAGTGTATCTATAGGAGTTTGTTCGGCAGCTATGCAGAACTCTCTTTGAGTGGCATAAGTAGGCAACGTCACATCAAAGCAGGAATATGCTTCTGTTTTTATGCATCTATACAAGCACACTATCTACATTTTGAAAAGATGTTGTTAAACTCCTACCCATTGTCAATGTCAGTACTTTTTCTTTTATGAAATTGGGTGCGTCACTGCATATTTTGCATAAATTTGCATTTAATATATTACTCTGCACAAATTGGATGCATATCAAGCATTGCTGCCATACAACCCTGGTAATATTGCATTTCTCCTGTAGGATAATTTATCTAGAAGCAACACAAGCCATATCTGACATGAACGCTCAATATGCTTGTCACTGCTACACAAGGTCTCCAAGAGAAACATGTACATGTTGAAAAAGTGGCCCTATGAATATGCAAGCTGCAGTTGGCTTTGAATATACAAAGCTGGAGCTGGTCATGAATACGCATGTTTCAGGTGGACCTATAGACCTTTTTCCTGTGATGTCACGATCGTGCTGGACCTATGATGTGTTGTGATGTTAATGAGTGCATAGTATTGTGATGTGGTGGTATTGTTTACATTTAGTCACATGGATGAAAAAGGTCTATACATGAAGATACCACAGTAGAACTCCTCATGCTAAAGGGCATTATTTACTTTGACAATGGAATAACATTTGATGCAAAAATCGGACACTTCTGTCCATAAGGACTGGTGAGGTTAAGGGGCAGACACAAATCTTCCACTTTAAAAATAAGGACAGCATTACCTGATCTGTATGTTTGCCCAAAATAATTGATTTCAAGTTTAGTAACCTTGGATAAATGCCCTTAGTCTGGATTATCCTTTACCCTTCCTCTGATTGTGTCTCAAAAGATCTTACCAAAAATAGGAGAAAACAGCAAGTGAAATGACAGGCAGGGTTATTCCATGAGGATAAAAATGAAAAAACTCGGCCATTCGGTTGAAGGACCGTGTCTTTACCCATAGTTTTTTGCAACTGTGTGATTTTGTACTGTATTTTTCCCCCTCACATTTGAAGTGGATTTCGGCATGGCTTAATAACACCAATCATCAAAAATGTCACTGCCAGTTCTCTCTATCTTTAGTTTCAAGCTCTCAATTAATTCATGGTTTAAGGCATGGGGAGACTGCAGCTGAGTAAAGGTCTGGATTTTTTTTCTCCACAAAGACAAATCCTATAATGTAAGGCAGATGTCTACAACACTGGCATGCGGTCTGAACCACAGACATCTTGACTTCAACCCAGACATGACATTTAAAGTACATACTTTAATGCTGTGTGTGCAAAATAAGCTGCGTCTCATAGCCTGTATTGCTGTTTCACTATTCGCAGGCGTCCAGTGGCTTTGAGTCAAAGGTGCATTTATAGTTCATATATTTCATATATTTTCTTGTGGAGTGGAGGATTTTGAAGGATCAAGAAGGGGTACTCCATCAAAAATACCTAAGAGGAATTTGGGTCTAAGACTTCTGAATGATTCTTGCAGCTAAAGCGAGAAACAATGCAAAAATCTTGCCTGAGTCTTTCTACACATAATACTCTGACTCATCACTCCTGGCTGACCTTGGTGTGTCACCAGGCCCAGGTCCGTTACTCCCCGGGCTTGCCCCCGACCCCGGCCCACTTTTACCCCACTGCTGTGCCTTGGACTGGACCCCTGAGCCTCGTGTCGTGCTCGTGCTGGTGCTCCCGGCGGCACCGCCGTAGTCGCTGATATACTTGCGCCGTATCTGGGCAGCGGGGGTCAGCTGCTCTGGGACCTCAATCTGGTCATGGGGGTCGATCATTGTGTGGATTTCTATGGATCAAAGAAGGTGCTTTCATTAGATAAGGTGGGGGGGATAGAGAGATGAAGGAAATTCACAAAAGATCCAGAAGATGAGCCGTGACGATGACGACACAAAAACACCAGTCCATCATTTTTAAGGAGCGCAATCATGCAGGTGCTCCTACCGTGCTCCTCAACACTCCTAAAGGAGCATATAAAATTATGCTCCCAAAAAATTCCAAGGGCACTTTACAAATAACAAACGATATGACCAAAACAGTGGATAATATCACCAAAAAACTGTGGACTGTGATTCGTTTGTAACTTACAATGTCACATTTATCCCACCGCGACTTTCATACGTAGGCCTATAATAATTGTATGAATACGATCATTGTGAGCGCGGCTTGCTTTCACCGGCCAGCCAGCCCTGCACGCACATATAGCAAGCACACTGTACGTACATGCTTGCATGTGCATGTATGTCGCGTGCAGTTTCACTGTACATGGTACAATCTGTTACGTGTTTTTGTTGGTCGGTAAAAAGTTTTCAGTGACAAGAGAGCCAATCAGTACCGATCTTCTTTACGGGTTGTGTAAGCAGAAAGCGGTGCGCCATGAGCTTTGGTCATCATGAAATGTTGCTCAGTGCATACACACAGCGTGTGTGCTCATTGAATTTGCCGAGGAAACCTTCCAATGTGTCGGAACCTAATCATACGTAAACGTTCGCTTGTGCATGCAGGCGTGTTGGTTTGACGCTTTCCCATTTTGAATGAGATGGCTTTGTTTTATTCCTGCATGGTTTGTTACAGACTAGTCTGCATCAATTGAACAATGTTACTTTCAAATCCCCTTCAGGTTTTTTTGGAAAGAAATGCTCAAATCAGGATGAAAAAGGTTCACTTCAACTCTTATTTAAATTAAAGGGACATGCACATGACCTGTGATGACGTAGAACTAACTGGGTTGACTTGTAGGTTGAAACGTACATGTAACGTTAGTCAGGCCTTAATAGTGTACATGTATTTTTAATTCGCAGTATAAAAATTCTGGTCAAATAAAAGGAAACAAGCTCTGACATGATGTACCAGTATGTGTTGTAAACCCATGTTTCCAACTGAACTAAAACTAAATGAATTTTAAAAGTTACCCCAAGAACATTATAAACCATCAGAGAAAGAGGAAACAATAGACTCCTGGCTACAAACTATAATTTCACCTCATTTTCCACTTCTGTTAATTGGTTTATTTTAAGGAGAGCGATTTGCTCTCCTGAGAGATTTGAGGAAAGCCATTTGTAGCTCTCCTGGATTTTCTTAACCCTAACAGTACCGGGCGTTGTTTGGCTTAGAGTACTCAGTACTACAAAATACTACGTAACACACTGAGCCTGAAGGACCTAGCGCTACAAATTACTATTTCTGGCTAGGTTTATTCCATTGTTACTTGTACAGAGAACAATGAAACCATGCATTCATAGTGCCTCAGCACTGTATGGTACATTGTCTTCTCTATTGTATTTTATGGCTTCAGAGAATAATAATGTCATGTCCTCTTACAAGCGACAGGGCTGAGTACTAAATTTTACTACTAAGTAGTACTTTGTAGCATTCGGGACTGTTAGGGTTAAAATGAAGGACTGAAACACTATGACTTTGAACACAAATTGCTCACAAATTGTTAGAATTATGTGAAACTTTTTTTTCCAAAGTATCTTTTTAGGGGCAGTCAAATGGATCGGTCGATTTGTAACTTGATTCATAGTTTAATTGGTTGGATAGTTCAGGTCCATGATTGGCTATTTGGGTGATTTTCTTTTGTTTATTTAGCAAACTACCAACCTGATCTGTCAGGAATCTACTTTTCATTGGCTGCTCGATTTATTTCTTTGCCAGTTTCTGCTCGTTTTTCACAATCATCGGCTGCCTTTCTAGTCAACCCTACCTGAGAGTCTTTTCTCTAATTGTCTCAAATTCTTCAAGATGTTGGCAATTTCCTTGTTGTGCGTCTTCAGCAGGGGTGAATCTGCATCCTTCAAGACTTCTGCCAGCTCAGCATCTGTGGCATTGGGAGACTGCAGCTTCCTACAGAGAAACATTAGGGTGCAGGAGTGAGCAGCTGTGCTAACACAGTCTAAATCATGTGGGAAAAGCTTACAGACATATTTGGTGCAATTCTCATGAGCAAATCTCCATGGTTATCACACTTGCACAACAAGCAATAATTGTTCAGACATTGATCACTGGTTGGCGCTGATCAGGGCAATCTGTCATTTAAATGAGCAGCCACAACCCTTGGTTCTGTTCATGATTATGAGCAGTTCCATTCCTTGAGAGCCACTGTGTATCTCTGCTTTACTGCTTCATATAGCTATCAAAGTGTAAAGCATGCTATAATGAAGCTGAACCTTAAGAACATAAAAAGTGTTTTGGTACACGTAACTCCTCATATTGATAGAATCTGGTCAAAGCTATAAAGTACTGGATCTAATTAAACTCAACACAACTAGGGTTATCAAAAGACCCATCAAAACAAATGTCTTTACTTGAGTTTGTATGCCACTTTGTCGGTTGAGTCCTTCAGCTTTATGGACAGATGATTTATTGAAGACATCACCAGCATGTCAAATGACTGCAAGGAAAAAGTTAAGAACTGCAGTGATTTTTTTTACCCAAAGCACTTACCTTCACCCACTTACCTTAGGATATATTTCTAATCAAATACTTGACAGCAACTACCATGACATAAATGAATGCCATGTCTGGCAGCAGGCTACCCTTGGCAACTAATTCATTTCTTTCTGTTTCACGTGCATCTGAAACAATACATCTCCACATAACTACCTTCACTTTTGGTAAATTTTCAAGAAACCTTCTTCAATCCTCCCAAATCCCCTGAAAGATGGATAACAATGGGACTTTTATTCCACCTAAACTTCAACCTTCACATAAATGGGCTTCAGCCTTCATATAAAGAAATGTGCCTTTCTCAATCCTGGGAAACACTTCCCCAAACCCTTCTGGTGGATTTGAAGGATAGTGGGGATCGGAGTTGATGTTATGGTCTGAGTGAAAATTGACTGTTGCCAACGATCGCTCCATTAAAATGTTGCTCAGAGCTGAAGAGGGGCATACTTAGTCAAAGGCTCGATTCTTCCGATGAAAAGCCTAGAACTGCAGAAAAGTCAACATCCATCCTACCTCTGGCTTGGTCCACTGTTTGTGTTTCAGTGCCACTGGTGGGCTGCCCGGCTGGGCAGATGGTTGGGACCTTGCAAATATGCCTGCAATACAAAAATCATAATCTTTGTTGATCTGGCAGCAAGAAAAATCCACACACACATTTGACCTATTGCCTACGCAAATCTTCATGAAGAAAGAGATGTCCTGTTTACTGCAGAACACAAGAATCTTTAGAAATCTGTCACCTGACGATGGGCAGAGAATACTGTCCACATTATTGAGTCCACTGGTTTTTTTCCCTGAGCCTCATCAACTCACAAAAGAGAGATTTCCTTTATGGAGCAACCGCAAGTTACTCCACATTACTTCCTTCACCACGCCAACCTCCAGATCTTCCAATCCACACACTGTACATGTACCTTCGGTGTTGTTGTAGCCCAGCGACGTTGAACGTTGCAATGGCTGCTTGTAGTTCTCTCTCTCTCCGGGATGCGTCTCCCTCCCGCCGACACCAACCGTATCCTCTGCCAATATCTCATCCATCATTCTCTGTTTGTAAGAGGAAGATGACGGATTGTTCACATTCCTATCCTTCACTTCTACACATAGAAAGACATACGCTGGAAACATCAAAATACTACAGCCCCCCCATCCCCTGGTAACAAGTACATGTGGTATCCATGACGTTGTGATCTGTTTCACTTCAGTGGTTTCACGCAGCTAGGTGTGGTTAGGTACTGGTCTCCAAAACTAATTTTGTTCAGGGTTTGCGGGGAGTGATGATAAAGCTTACCTGGTACCTTGTACCTTCTACGAAGTACAGGGAAAATGTGATTGAATGACATAATGTTTCCTTCTGTCCTTTCTTATGTATGTACAATTGGACATGTAAACTTGTACATGTGATTGTGCATACGACAATTGTATATGTAGGTACCATGAAGGTCATGCTTGCAGTCTATGCCAAACAGTACGAGGATTTTTAAAAAAATCTTTTAGAGATGTTTCACAAGACCAACAAACGACACTTATCAAGTTTCCTTTTCCTAGCAAATAATGAAAATTGATTTTTTTGCAAACAGTCAAGTTGGGTCAAGTTTAAGCAAGAGGTTGCATTTGTTTGTAATGCTTAACAGTACTGGCATACCAAGACAAAGAAACAAAACTTCACGAGGCACATTGAGAACCCATGCATATCTGCTGTGGCACAGATCAATCAAACCATTAAAAAAACATGTAGACTAAAACTAAAGTACACGTCTTTATCAAGGACTACAGTGTACAGTTCATTGTAACATTTGACATTCTGTGACAAAGGGAATGAGGGAACATCCAACTTTCAGTGATCTAAGAAAATACCGGCACTGATTCCGGGTGGGCTTGTTTGCGCTGGGAAAATATTTTTTTGGGCCCATTGTTAGCACGTTTAGCTCCCCTTGAATCCAGTGTCATTTGGGGGTTAAAGTACATGTACATGCAAGGAAACTCAAGCATTTACCACAAGACATGTGATTCACTGCTTCAAGTTTACACTCGGAAAACTTGGGACAACACTGTGAGAACAAGTACACATACAGGGCTGTGGCTGAACAACAAAATGTGGATATCGACATACATGTACATGAACACATAGAGCTGCACGTACATGTACACGTACAACATACATACTGTACATGTATGCTCTCAAGTATAAACAGAAGTATTGCCGCTTTTTGTGGAGGTGTGGAAAGTTTACAAACGTGGAATTTTGCATTTGAGCAAAAGAAACGAGCGATCTAACAGACACCTCATAGCACTGGTCATAACCTATACATGTACACATACTGATATACATTGGTGACAACAGCAGTATTTTAATGATGGGCTAATGAAGCACAACCATGGTTCCAGACATAGCTCAAAATGTTTACTGTGAGGCACAAGGCCAGGTTTAGTAACAGTGACCCGTGCTGAAGAACAAATTTAAAATAAAAAGCGTACAGACTTTAGAATGAAAATACTATTATACACGTAAGAGGTGACAAACACTGCAACATTTGTACCCACTTTTTGGAGTGACTGATACTTGACAAACACTGTATCCCCAAACCATAGAGAATTCAGACAGATTGACATTCATGGTGGATACATGGTGTAATAGCATCCACACTTTGAGAAAAAGAAAGACATTCAATCCAGAGATTAAAGAAAAACCAAAAGAAGGAGATGGACCATACATGTGTGTGCATACTTCTTCTGGGAACTAGGAGTCGATTCCTAATAGTCATTGTGTGGGATAAGGATTTAACATGCAGACAGTCAGTGTAAACATGGGTTTTGTGGCCTTGTCATACCTGATGCAAATCTAACAGTGAAGCAAAGTTGTTACAAATGCTGCTGCTGTCAGAATGAAACATGAGCTGTTTAGAAGTGTTTGTTTTTTTGTTTGTTTTGGCATGAGTTAAGTGCAAGTATGAGCCAGCCTTCGCAGGAATAATTTAACGAGGAACAATCCTACCGAATACATGTACATGTATATTACACCCTCGACAACCACATCGGTGACAGCAAAGCAGGCAAGTTACACCAAGAATGCAATAAGACCAGAGTTGGTAACTTACCACAAAATGGAAGAGAAGCTGTGTGTAGGAATCACACAGAATACAGAACAAAAGAGGAGCAAACAGTTATTCACTGGCTAGCAGAAACATGTACAAAAAAAGTATCCTAGGAAATACAGCCATTTGTATCACTTTGATGGAGCACCAAAGTGTGACGTCAGTTGCCGTGGCATTTGTTCCACTAATTGGCTCGAATGTCCACCGAAAAGGCACAAGGAACTGCTTCGGAGACTTTTGGATAGAACCATTACCTTGGCAACAAACAAAAGATGACATTTTCACTTTGGCTCCCAGTGGCATCCTATTTTTGAAGTGTCTGATTTCTACATGTACATTGTGGGCATTTTGCTGAGAGCATCACTAGTTCTGCATTGAATTAAACACAGAGTACCAAATGAAAACAACCTGTATTGAATATTCCCAATGTTCCCATGTGTGTGAAATCTGAAAGCCAGGTCAATCAAAGGAGTATTCCAGACTGAACAGAAACACCCAGTGACCCAGTCTCCCAAGCCCAAAATGAAGCACGTCTGGGGTCATTTGGAAAAACAATATACGCATACCAGGCTTTTCCCAATCGGCACAGCCATATGTCGACTGGCCTGCATGCCTTGTTTTTGAATGACCTTTCATTTTTGAAAAGCTGAACAAACACATTTTAAGATGCTCTCCTACAGGGTGTGTTAAAACTGTTACACCTTCATCTAGTCAGTATGCGATGTGTTAAAATGCACATTTAATTCATTTTTTCCTTAAAAAAAGCAGAAACCCCCCAAAAAAGAAAATTATAAAGACAAACACAACAATTTTGATAATAATGAAGAATAGACAGACAATTGACTGAAATTGCTGAAGCCAGTTTTCACGTACTTCAGAATTTGTCTCTGAACCTAATACTACAAGCTAATCCAGCAGCCAGAAGTAGAAGACCTTACGGTGGTGGCACCATGCTCCCACGCAGATGGTGCATGTGGATCAAATGTATGGATATGCCCATGAGTACAGTGCCAGCGCAGTAATGGTATCTCCTTGGATTAGTCCACATGCAAAACCAAGCGATAACTACAAGTAACACCTTCTTTGCTACCTGTTGTTGTAAACAAGGCATCATCACAGCCCTGAAGAGCTCTAACGATTAATACGTCACAAGATGTTCACTTGTAGACAGGTTACTGTTTTACAATATTAGGCAATGGGTTAAACGAATTTCTGAACTTATTTTCATCTGTGATCCTCTTTTGGCTTGATCTCTCTACCCTGAGCACACAACACGGCAGTTGGAGAGCATATTTGTTTCTCACCTCATCTTTTGGTATGTGCTCCACGGCCACTCCTAGCGTGCTCTCCCCTTTGGCCAGCCTCTGTAGGCTCTCAGCCAGTGAGTTGCTGGCTTGGGCGACATCTTCCTCCCCCCTGCTGCTCCTCCTCTGTCGGTGCTGCTGGTAGTGTGCCCCTCCAGCCAGGTGCTGCATGGAGGTCGCTGTCCGCTGCTGGTGCTGCTGGGGCTGCAGGGGTGGGCTGCTGTTGCTGTGGGGCTTGTAGTAGTTGTAGGCTGGTGCCGATTTGATGCTGCTCTCGTCAGCACTAGACACCGAGGACTGGCGACTAGTGACGGACTTGATGTAGGCATCTACTGCATCAGCTGATGTTTCTGGCTCCTTATATCTGACAGATCATTTCAAATCAAGGAAAAACACAATAAAATGCACATTCAAATTGATCAACTCATTAATAGCAGACAAATTTTTAGATGAACGTTCACTGGTAACCAAACACTGGTTACAATGCCTATGCGGGAACTGAGTCCACTTGCGTAATAGTACAAGGATTGCACCTGCTGCTTCCACCACTGTTTAAAATAAACAAATGTCAGTGGCATTGACTTACCTTCTCCAAGCCCCAGTGGCAGTTTTCTTGATTATGGAAGAGTCCATGGAGCTCTGGGAGTTCTTCCTGGATGACGTTGACGTGATGGTCCGAGTTGATGAGGTCTGAACCTTACCCATGATTCTGGCGCTGGTCTCCCCAGCATTTGCTTTACGTTCCCGCATCGACTGAGAGCGTGCCTGCTGAACGATCTGCCCACCAAGGCTGAGCTCACTCCGTGGAGTTTGCTCACTGCTGCGGCTAGTGGCCCTCGGCCTGCCGGTGTCAATCCTTGCGCTGGTAGTCTTTGTCCTGGAGTGCAGGTCCTTGGGACTCTGACACCTGGCCACAGATTCCTTTTGAGATGGTATGGATCGCCGCAACATGGATGAGTTTCGGGAGCTGCTCATGTCTGAGATGCTGGAGCTGGGGCTAAGGTCACCCTGATCGGGGCCGGGGGAGTCTTTGCCATCAAAGCGGGACCGGCGCAACATCGTGCTCCGGGTCTGCCGTGGCTTGCTGAGGTTAGCCTTGATCTTGTGTATGATTTTGGGACTCGTCTCCTTGCTCTCAGAATCTCTGGGAGTTTTGCGACCAGTGACGCGGCCGGTTGGAAGTGATCCCGTTACACTGGTGTTTCGTCGGAATGGTGTTGAGTCCACGGAGTCGCTCATGCAGTCAGAAGTGACAGAGGAGTCTTTGCTTGGTGCAGTTTTCTCACTGCGTTTGTATCTGGAAGGCTGTGATAAACGGTTCCAGATACTGCCCTTTTTGTTCTTGTCATCAGGAGTTTTACTCTTGGAGTCTACCCTCTGATCATGAGCGCTCCTGTTACCCTGATATCCTGAAGGTGGAAGACTGGCTTGGTTGCCCCTTGGGGGATTTGCTCCAGAGGTGCCAACTAGACTTACGCAGCTGGCTGTGTCCAAGTCTGTATCAATGTCACCATCAAATGAGCGATGGGAAAGGTCGTAAGACTCTGAGATGTCCGGTGAGGGAGTTGACCGCTGCCGTTCACGCATACGCATCTCCAGACTCTTCACAAATGTTTCTGTATCCTTCAGGAGGATCTCTGTGTCCATTGAAACCTCTGTGTGGAAGTCCTCATCTTCACGTGCCTGCAGCGTTGATGGCGATCCCACTTCTGCCCCTGCTTTGCTTACAAACACTGCAGGGTTTGAGTGTGTTGACAGTTCTCTCCAGGAAACATTAGCATCATTTGTAGCTGGCTCTTCCTGTTGGGGAGCAACAACACGGTCTCGGTTGCGAGGACTGTAGAAGGCACTGGATGGTGACTGTCTTACATGTAAGCCGTTCGCTCTGGTAGAATCCTCAGGAGTGGTCGGTTGGGGCGATTGCCGGTCACCCCTCTCCGGTGGGGTTGCCGGCAAGCGGCGTTTGCCTGACCTCCTTGGTGGGGCAGTAGGGGCCTGCCCAACCTGATTAGGAGATCTGCTGGATGCTTCCTCCTGGACTCCTGTGCCTTGACTGAGATCTCTGGGACTCTGTGAGGTGTCGCTGCGTGGAGATAGGCCATGCTCTCGGTGGCCCGTGTCTTTGCTGGCAAGTACAGCCCACTGACGGACCCAGGCTGGAGCAGTAGATGATCCAGTAGAGGGAGGCTTTGGCTACGAGAAGAAATTACAAATACTACTTTCAAAAACAACACTGTTTTTCTCCAAAGTGTTCTTAGGTCCAGACGCCTTAATAGAGTAAACTGATGGAAAGTTATTGTCTTTTTCAGCCATCTTAGAACAGGGGTGTAAGTGAAATACCCCATGTACTTTGCCATGTGAACACACAGGAATTGGACAATCCAAGTCCTTCCATTCCATTATGCCTTCTTTCAATTCTGTGCCTCTGTCTGGTAATATCAACTCTTTTTGCCCCCATACCAAATGGCATCCATAGCTTTCACTGTTTATGTCCAGTTGCCAACATTGGTCATAGGAATGAACTGAAGTGCAACCCAGTGAATCTACCTGGGCACTGCCATGCAGTGAATACCTATAGCTCCGTAAATTGAATGATCTGTTATAACTAGCCAAACATTCTGTTCATCATGTGCACACAGAAGCAATGAAACTGGATTCTCCATCGAAAGAAAATGGGGCCAAATTTACAATCACTCAGCTTATAAACCTCAGCTACATGTACATGTACATGTATGTTTGCATTTTATGAACATGTTGGGCACAGAATCACATTCTGGCCAGTCAACACAATGTTGAACACAACACAGGGTTCCCACAGAAATCCAAAAGACTAATTCTATTACTTTTCCAGGACTTTCTAAGAGTAAAATATGATGATTTCCATGCCATATAATGTCATTTTGTGGAGAAATGTTGTTTGGTATTACGAACTGAAAGACTGTGATAGACATTGCTATAGACTGAGGCTGCATCCCAATCTGTTGTCTAGAGCTCGGTCTAGGTCTTCCCTCCAATGGAAATGTGCGGAGACTCGTGGACAACAGACCTAGCTGTAGCTCTGGAAGCCCGTTTCGGACACAGCCTAACAATGATATAACCTATGAATTTACTATTATTCCATTATCATATGAAAGCAGTCCATCAAACTAAAACCCTTCCATGATCTTGATTTCCACGACTTTTTAATGACTTTTTTTCTACCACAACAGGAACATCTCATATTTCCCAATTTTCCAAGACAACTTTGTTTCCAGGATTTTTATGACAGTGGGAGCCCTGTGACAACCAAAGTCCCTCCAGAGTGTTAAGGCCGTTCATTCATAATCAACATAATCACTGATAGACATGTAAATCTGCACCATTTTCTGTCCCCGTGTAAACCTTGCTGCCAATATCCTGCATTTCATTTCAGCCCTCATGTGTGAATTACATGTACCGTGCATTGTGGTTTTAAGACACACTATCTTTGTCGATTAGAAACATACCTGAAAAGGAGGTTTTGCAGTTTCCTGATCACCAGGCTTGCCATACTCCTGGTCCAAATATCTACTGACATCCATCTCCTGGGTTGCGACGGTTTCCATGGTAACCACCTCCTCCTGAATCTCCTCATCCCCAACATCCTTGTCGGTGTCCTCGTCACTGCCCTGCTTGGCGTCCATGCTCGCGCCCACCCCAAACACCTCGTCGATTTTTGACCGCGCCTCCAATACTTCCTTAGACTGGCTCTCACTCTCGATAGTGTAGGTCCCGGACTCGCTCACATTGTCCCCATTGTGGTCATTGTGATCCTCATTCCTGTGATGGCTGTGCGAAGTCTGTGACTTGACTGGGCCAGATTTGGAGGGCACGGGTTGCCTGGCTGATATGTTCGGCCGCATTTTTAACTGCTTTGCTGCATCAACTTTACCAGCTTCTGCATGTTGAACAACATAAGAACTGTTAAAATTCAACTGTCCAAGTAACAGAGTCAGTTCTAAATAGAGCTACTGGTATTATAAATACATTAACGAGGATACCTGTCAGGATCAGTTCTGATTACTATTACTGGCTGAACAAAGGCAGCAGTGTTAAACATATTGCTATGGTGCCTACATATCACAAGTTTGTTTTTATGAAGCAACACATGCATGTTTCATAACCACAGAAGAATTTAAATTCAAGACAAGACAAGTAAGATTTCATAGAAATATACCGGGGGGGGTATGTACATACAACTTCCTTTCCCAGAAGAAAGAAAACTATTCGTGCTGTTTATTTTGCAGGGAGGCTAACTAACATAAAATGTACAAGACACGCAGGTCTTGTGCAACACGATTCCATCAGGCCACAGCAGCCGGCAAAACTGGGCACTCAGCAGGAATTTTGAGAAATTGTGCCATTTTCTTTCTAGACAAGCTAGATGATTCCCCCCAAAATGTATGAGATTTTACCTGAGTTATTAGCAGACCTGGAGTCCCCTTGGCCTGCTCTGGCACCCTTCTTGCCAGGAGCAGTGGCCCACATGGTGTTGAGTTTCTGGACAGCTGATGGTGACATTCGTGGGGACTGTCGGGGAAGAAACGTAAAGCTCAGGATCAAATATGTCATCTCCATTTGTGACTGCAAACTCTGACGGACCATTCTGCATTTGGTGAGTGAGGATATTTTCCCCTTAATTTCCGCACAAAAAAGTGCTAAGAAAATAATGCTAATCACTTATCACAGCCTCAGTGCGAGGCAGGGCTTGAATCAAGAAGTTCCACTTCTCCATAGCAGACATTTAAGCACTGAGTCAAATGGACTGCACTACCAACAGCTGATGGGGACTCTATACTTGACAAGTGGATCAAGTAAGAAGAGCCAAACAAACCTGAGCAAAGGCACATGGTGGTAACAGTGCCTAAGTCCCCTCTCTTTTCCACTGCTGATTGACGTCTTAGAGTGAAGTTACTCAAATGAGTGCTTCAAAACATTCTGCTGGTAAGGACCAAAGCCTTATTTGTAATAACTATGTTTTCTCTACACAGTATTTCACATTGAACGTTTGACAAAACCAAACACTTGAAGATACCGGTAAATGTGCTCGTTAATAAGCAGGGAGTCCATAGCTGCAGGTATTGCAAGCAATGACCTGTTACTCAACAGATGCTAGTGAATGGTAATTTCAATCCATTCTATGTAGAATTACCGGTACCCCTGACAAAGAGAGGGAACAGTGTGGATTATTTCAACTGGGTACCAGGCAGACACAATCTAAAACTCTTATTCTAGCTAAAATTGGCTGTGCATGATTAGCACAGCCTGCACCAAATGCTTGCAAAGCATGCGCGTAATGACCACCTCCCCCGAGTGTAAAAATACACCATCTCTTGTTCTCGCATAGAGCTCGTATTACCTGGTAGCTGTCTGGGTCTTCCGATAGGTTCTTCTTCATTCTCTCAGCCTTCATCTCCTCCACCATCTTGCTGCTACCCTCAATCTTGCTCTTGACGCCCGCCGGCACAAACTCGCTCAGGCTCTCGTTCATGGACAGTTTGGGGGCGTCGTCCTTGGCGTTGAACTCAATGGTGAAGCCCACGTGCTTCTCCGAGGCCGACACCAGGGTGACCTCAGTGTGCTCTGGGGTCGGAGGCCGCTTGGCGGGTGTGGTGGGGTTGAGGTCGGTGACAGGGCGGGTATACACATGGACTGGGATGTCATATTCCCGTTCGGCCTCATTGAGGGGTAGCTTAGTGGGACGTTCCAAATACTTATGATTTGGGTGATTGGAAATAGCATCAACGTCTGTGATGAAATGAAAAAAGTTTCGGGAATCTAGTTTAGTCAACATTCACACATAGCATGGCCCAATGAAAAACTGATCTGTTCAAATGGCTACAACATCCCAGTAATGATGAAATTTCTTCTCAACTGCCAGTTGAAATTGACAAGAAACCTTTCCATAATAGTTTGTTGGCTCAAAAGAAAATCGAAGAATTGCTTTTGTGTTGACATGTTGCAGTATAACTGTAGTTTTGATTTGATACCCAGCGTAACTGTGTCGGTTTCCAAAGAATCCTGACAGGCAAATCTGAACACAGTTCTTGGAAATGTAGACACTAACAACGAACAAGATGGAAACAATGATAATTTGGCAGGTGAAGGTTTTGGATCCAACTGAAGTCAGTCCCGTTTGTTCAGCAAAAACCTGATAATCTTTCTCAGTGAGACCTGTACCAATCAGCAACCAGCACCTTTGCCATTGGGTGCGTAGTCTAAAGTCCTCGCTTTGCGTCCTCCTTCGTCCTTCTCCTTCACTTGCCCCTCCTCTTTCTCTGTGTCATCCTGGCCCCACCATGCAGGCTGGCCATAGAGAGAGGACGGTTGGGAACTCACGGAATGCTCTACTGAAATAGATCACAGTACAGATCGTCACCACATGTATTGTACATGTTGTACAAGCAGATTTCCTCCAGCCTTGGGAACCCCAAAAGTACTTAACTAAATTTTGTTTAAATTAATTTATTCCAATACACGAATGTTACTTGTTACATGTATACAGCAAAGGCCAACATATTAACCACAATAGCTACGTGTGTGGGTCATTCCATTAGGTTGGGGCATTGTTACGTGGGTTCTGTAAAAATGAATAGATACATGTATTTCCCGGCATATGGATTCCAAATTAACATTGTTATACATCTTGCAAGGCTGAATATAGAGGTGTGAGTTATTTTTACAGAGTAAATGACCTACATGTACTCTACAGGTCATGACAGGTGGTAAAGGTTACCCATGTAACAAGGACACCAGTCACAAATTGTGCCCCAAACCTCATGGAATGATCCGTACACAGTATGCTGAAGCACGGCTATCACCACTATGACACTATGCCACAGTGGTGAAATGTTAGGAACTGTTTCACTATCCCTTCCGTTGGACCTTTTCCTTGTATCAGTACCTTGTTTGAGCGGGGTTGTCCTGCCGTATGACATCACCTTGTTCTCCACAGGTGTCGTCCTGGGTTCATACTGGTGAGAAGTAAAGGCATCATGATGTCTGCTGGCCTTGGATGGGTATCCCTTCAGGGGAAATCGATGGGGAAAAAGGGACTTGATTCATACATGTACATGTATCTGATGAAACAACTGCACTATTGGTTACCTTATACGGGCCAATCGGTGAACAAAATCCCTGTTGGTTTGGAGATGGTAGAGTAACATGATATCACGGCTGGAATAGATGCACAAGCAACTACGTACATGTATCACTGACCAGACTAATATAGCAGCTCAACTGCATGCATACCATCAACGATAAAGGTATGCAAGGTGTATCAATATCCTACTTAAAGCAGGACAGGATTGGCACACACCAGGACGGGATAAATTCATGCACCTTTTGTAGGACTTTCCAACTGTCCAAGGCTGAAATTCTCAAATTTAAGGACTGAAGCCAACACTAAACCTTAAAATGTTTTAAGATATGAACAACAAAAAAGCGTGCAGATTCACAGAGGTGCTTGATGATCAAAGCTATCAAGTTGAGACCTTGCTCCAATTTTTCAAGAACTTCAAAAACTTTCACGGTGGTGAAGCTGAAATTCAATGCTTTACAGGGATCCGAAATTTATTTCATGTAGGCAAGTACATGTACCAAGATTTCCAAGGCTAGTGAACCCTAGTCTAGGGGCAGAAACATACTGTACAACAACCAGACAAAGCAAGGCACTCACCCCAGTGTTTAATTCTGGAGGTTGCAGTATTCCCTGAAACCAGAAGGTGTCAAACAACATAATGAGCATACTGTACATGCAATTAAATAGGACACGCATCCGTGTACCGGTACATATAACTGGTACTTGTGCATGTGCAAATGTACAGCACAAGGATATCAAATGTGGTCCTTCACACCATCTGGAATGCACACGTACAAATGTACATGTACAGATGAATACGTACCGTACATGTATATGAGCCTAGACATGGACTACAATCTTTTTAATGATCAAGGCATTGTACTATTTTGCACGAAATCCTACATGTACATTAGGTTCCTGCAGGAGTGCAGATTTACATGTAATCAGGGATACTTATACACAAGAATATAATATCAAATCAGTGCTCTGAAATATGTGATTGCTGAGCTTGTACCTTCTTAAGAAGGTACTCAGTTACCGAAAGCTTGGCAATCACATATTTCAGAGCACTGATTTGATATTTCTATTCTCGTCAATATTCTGATCACGGTGCTACGCAGCTCTTCCATACTTGTGCACAACTGGGTAAGAATGTGCGTCTACATGTGCAAGCATGTACCGCACAAAATTGACTAAACTACACAACTGTCTCAGTCTACAAACCTAC